CTTCTTGCGCGTAGTTTAGCAGTCAACGTCATCACCATCATTATCGCAATAACCACCTGATTCGCCATCGCCATCGCCAACCAAGCCATCGCCCGCAGCTTCGCATCGTCCAGCGCCATGATGTCGGGAACTGCGTCGAACCCGCCTTCGAACCCGGCAAGCCACGCGTCCGCGAGCGGCCAGGTCTCGTTTCCCGACGAGGATGTATGCCGAGAGCGGCATCCAGACGGGTCCACCTGCACCAAGCGCCACTCGGTGCCGCAGTCCATCGAGCCATACGATGCACTCTTCGAGATGTCGGACGATGGCTTACTACCTTCCAGCGAGATGGCACCCATCTCCGAGTACTACCCGAGCACTGTGCAGCGAGAGTTCACCAGCGCGGAAACACCAGTGGCCAGGAGCGGGGTCAGTTACCCCATTAGTGCCCCTTGTTGCATATCTGCAACACTCAGTTCCGTGCCCTGCCGATTGCAAGGATCCTAATGCACTGGTAAAAGTTCTCCATACTATGCTATTTCGAGGGTTCTTCGTTCCACCCAGTACCAGTTTAAGCTGCTTGGGGGCCACATTCGTCGTATCTGCAGTTTGCAAAATGGCAGCATCCACGTCGTCGTCGAGCTCTGCAATCAAGGTACTGTAAATATTTTTTTATGAGCCCTCAAGTTAAGCTGCGTTGCTTTTTTCACTGAAGGTGTGTTCGAAACACTCTTGACAGTAATCTAGAACCCAACAGTTAGTTTTTTACTTGCTCTGTTCGAGAAAATATTTTTTGCACGTGGTGTGTTGCACATATGCAACAGTGGGCACTAAATGCCACAATTTTCATTGTTGCAGATATGCAACATTGCTTTTCTGCTTGAAACGCGTCTTACATATCGTGACACGCATTCATGTGGAGTGTGTGAACGGATGTCTGTTTGCTAATTTTGCTGTTTTAACGATTTTTCAGGGACATACTGTAATTTCAACCTCAACATTCTATTCTGTTCCAAAAGAGAGGCCGAAGCGTTTTGTTCATGCAAACCTGCTGGATGTTATCAACCCTAATGAGAGCAATTTTTCCGCTGATGAAAAAAGTGGCGAAAAAGTGTCTGGAGACAGCAGTGATGAAGGAGATGCCATCCAAACTGAGGTAGAAGAAGCTGAGGAAGAGGTTGCTACCTCGACAGATGCGCCTCCGGTAGATCGGATACTGCAGAACATGAAAAGGCGGTACACATGGGTGAAGAAGGATTTTGATATCGAGGCAGGTAGTTTCGAGAACAACTTTCCGCTGCCACCTGCAGAGCCGCTGAGTGCAGTGGAATACTTTGACATGTTTGTTTCTCGATCCATGCTAAAGGCTGTCGTCGATGAAAGCAATAAGTACTACTTTCAAAAACATGGAGCCACTCTAAACCTCACCGTGAAAGAACTTACATCTATTCTGGGCATGTTTTTCAGGATGGGACTCGTAAACATGCACAGGGTTCGTGCTTATTGGGAAAATGGAAGTACATATGAATTAGTAGCCCAGGTAATGTCCCGTAACAGATTTGAAAAGATCACAAGCCACCTGCATTTTTTCGATAATGAAGCGGCCAATGACAAAGTAAAAGAAGACAAATGCTGGAAAGTGCGCCCATGGCTCAGTTCCTTGAGCAGCAACATGGTTGTCTTGCCCCAAGAAAAAAAATCTGCAGTGGACGAAATCTTGATCCCTTTCTGTGGGCGGTGTTACTTTCGTCAGTACATGCCTAATAAACTAAAGAGTAAATGGGGTCTAAAACTTTGGGCACGTTCTGGGGAATCAGGTCTGTGTTATGATTTCGATGTCTACCAGCTCTGCAATGAAGGTTTTTATGGCAGCCAGGGTGGCTACCAGCTTGGGTTGGGAGCTGGTGTCGTGCTCCAACTGTGTTCCAGCCTACCGAAGCGAGACGACAACCTAGTTGTCGCTGAGGCCCTCAGCTTGTAGAGGAGCTTTCAAGAATGGGAATTTCCTATATTGGTACGGTTCGTGAAAACAGACTCAGCTGCAGCAAGTTGATGGATGAGAAATCGAAAAAGCGAGGTCGGGACACCTGTGATACTTCAGCCACTTCATGTGACCAAAACACAATGGTGGCAGTGAAGTGGCATGACAACCGCACTGTTACTCTTCTTTCGAACTGCACTGGTGCTGACCCGCTTACATCAGTCAAAAGGTGGGACAGCAAGGAGAAAAAGCATATTTTTGTCGATTGTCCAGCGATCATTTCTTCCTACAACAGATCAATGGGCGGCGTGAATTTTCTAGACAAAATGTGCTTCTCCTATTGCTTTTCTATCAGGTCTAAATGCTGGTATATGTAATTGTTTTGGCCCACGCTCAAAATAGCAGCTGTTAATGCATGGTTTATGCACAAGAGAATTCTCCAGCAGCACAAACTGCCGCCTACACCCTTGAGAGAATTCCTCTCTGAGCTCGCAACGAGTCTGATCTTGCTCAACAAACGACCACCAGGGCGCCCTTCGATTCAGAATGTCACACCATTCAAGAAAGTGTGCCTAAATGTCCCCCGAGATGTCAGAAGAGACAGCAACGAGCACTGGCCCACATGGGATGCAAAACTGAACCGCTGCAAGGCATGCCCAGGAGGGTACACCTATGTTTCGTGTGCCAAGTGTAAGGTGATGTGTTTCAACAAAGACCGTAACTGTTTTGTTAGTTTTCACCAATAGGCGCCAAACAGCTATGCATGTATTGTGCTTTCTTTAATTTGAAAATTCGCCAAAATTATTGGTAGCAATAAAAAGTTTCTTTCACTTGGATTGGCCTTCATTTTATACACTACTGCCCATTGTTGCACACATGCAACATCCCATTATTAATTCGCAGACTATATCTTCATGTTTTTTATTGAAAACTTGCACTCCTAGTGACTCTAAGGACATGGCCAAGAAATATTTTGAAGTTTGGAAAAATGTTTCTCATACTGGGAATTAATGGGTTACTGTGTAAGGCGCAGAGATTGGCGACTCTTTTTACTTGTGCCCTCGCGTGACCAATGACGTCGCAGTCGTCTCCGAATGTGATGTACGGCGTACAATAGTGACAGATATTTTTGTCAGTTCGATGAGACCGAGAAAAAGAACTTTAACAAGGTTCTTGATTGGGCTGGTGGGTGCTGCATGGTAGACGAAGAAAGAGCTTTAACAGCGCAAACGACAGGAGGGGATAGAAGAGACGAGGACAGAGCGCTCTGTTCTCGTCTCTTCTATCTCCTACTGTCGTTTGCGCTGTTAAAGCACTATCTTCGTCTACAATACAGAGAAAAAGATCGAGAATTCGCATGAGGAAAAAAAATAATAGAACAAGTCCGAGCAGTAGAGATTAGGAGCACTCCAGCAATGTGTACAGAACTAGAAAAATGTTTATTGCAACGTGAAAAAGTTAGCTTTCTGTCAACTTCTACTCGTATGCTTGAAGCAGGAAAACTCGAATTATTAATTTCAAGAATTATTTTTCATATGCCAAATTTTAGTTTGATTGGGAACTTTGACCACGAAGAAGGAGTAAACAGTGCAAACCAAAGATAAAAGAAAATGTAACTGAAATCTCCGAGAGAAAGAACAAATATGACACGTGCGCGAGGAAAGGTGCACGTGCCCGCTTCATAGTTTTTGACGTAATGACGGTTACTTTTGCTGGTGACCCTCATAGGAGACAAATCAACTATGCTGATGCTGTTCTGTTTTATTTTTGTTTTGGGTATATTGTGCATTGTCCTCCCCAAGATTGTGTGTTGTGCAATAATGAAATTTCGTCGCAAGTGCAACGCCACCTTTTAAACCACTATTTTCTGTTAATTAATTTATACGCGTGACTACGGCATGATTCTGTTCAGAGTAAATTCGTTCGTGTGAATTATTCTAGGAATACCCGATGGGTTTAGTTCTTTCCGTGTAACAGATAACGCCGAATTCATAATTCGCTGAACTTGTTTCCAATTATATCTCCCTTTCTGCTTCCCTTTCAGACGACACAATCGCAAATTAGTGGCCCAATCAGGCGGCTCATTGTGGAAAGGCACGATCATCGTTTCAGAAACCTAATGATTGCTTTTTGTCTTGCCGTAGTGGCATCAGCTATCATCGTTAGCGCATGCGTCGCATTCTACGTTTTAAAGCGCGTACCAGTACGTCTTCTGACGGAATGTACGAGTCAAGCTTGCTTGCAATACAAGGCCCGGGTTGCTAGCTTTCTGAACGTAAGCGTAGCACCGTGCGAGGACTTTTACACCCATGTGTGTGGATCTTTGAGATCTGATTCCGGCAAGCTTGGCGTTTCAGACACGGCACTCAAAACTTACCAGACAAGACTAAGTCGACAAGCTCTGCTCCAGTCGGTGCCTGCATCGGGTCAAACGCCCGAGCAAAAGGCAACGAAAATGTTCACGGCTTGTTACAATGTCGTCGACAAGAAGGTTAGCTACGTGAAGTCAATCCGCAAAGTGATGTCTGAGGCGGGACTGCCGTGGCCTCACGTCGATTCCCGTACAGACATATTGCATTCCATATTTGCAATGTCAACCTTGCCCATTCCACTTCTTTTTCGGATTGCGTTCACAAATTCGGTTCGAGGAGGCGGCCACCTGATCATCAGGTCAATCACGCTTGGCGTTTTCGCAGAGCACATTTGGAGAGAGAAGGACGAGAAGCAACGGGAAGAGTATTTCCACGTATTTAAAGAATACTTTAAAAATGAGAAGTATAGAAGGAGCATTACCTATAATGAAACCGTGTCCTTAGAGAAGAGCGTGATTCCGGCACTTGGAAGGTCGCTTATTGGAACACCTGAAATCCTTCAAATTCACACAAGCGAATTAAACAAGACGGCACCCTCCATTTCACTGGAATCGTGGCAACGGGAGCTGAAACGTCGTTTCAACACGTCTATCGCCAATGTGACCATCTATGGAATTCGCTTCTTCAAAGCCTTCTTTGAGCTGCACAGCACGCTTGGTGAACGCGCAATGAAAGAGTATTACGGTTGGTTTGTAGCGGAAGCCTTTATGCCCTACACAAATGCTCACATTCTTCGCGAATTCCACGGAAGCGACGAAAGAGCTACGGACGAGCAGATGAAATTCTGCCTCGGTTTCACGGGAGTCACGGGTTACGCCCTCGACGCTAACTACTTGAAGAGCACCACGGACAAAAAGGTCCTGGAACAGGCGACACAAGCTGGAGCAAGACTCAAGGACGCCTTCCATGAGACGCTCAGGCGAAACAATTGGTTCCAGGAAAGCCTCGTCACTTTGCCAGAGATGGACCGCGCCGGGATATTACTCGGCATGCTAAGCAAGTCCGAGGAAAAGAAGTGGCTGCCTGACATGACCGATGATGCGATAAGAAACTTGGCAACATTGTCGTCACTATCGCTTGCCTCGGGCATGACAGAGAAATCACCTTCTTCATCCTCTGAAAAATACCAGCCCGAGAATGGTTCTGTCGTCCCAGAAGAAGTTGCCAATCCGCCGCTGACACTGGCGCCATACCATTTTTCGTTTCCTTTCCTTATGGTGGACGCACCCGTATCCGCCATCTACGCTGGAGTCGGCCCTGTACTGGCGCGGCTCCTCTTCAAGCACATCTTTGCCGCCCAGAAGAGATGGAAAAGCACGACGCTGGAAAAACTGCACGAACGAATGGGTTGCGTCTACACGGCCGACGAGGCGACCGTTTTGGACCGAGCCACGAGGGACGACGTTGTTGTGGTGACGGCGGCCACTAGCACCTTGTGGAATGCGTTCCTGTCTGCCGCTTCGCCTACAGCGTCAAATGTCTCGTCTCCAGCGACTGAACTGGATTCGCAGTTGCCGAAGCTTTCGGAGCGGCAGCTCTTTTTCTTGCTTTTGTGCCACAGCACGTGCGGGGACCCAGCTGGACCAATGCGGTGCAATGTGCCACTTAGGAACAGCGAAGTGTTTGTGCAGACTTTCTCGTGCCAGCCGGGAACACCCATGCACGCCCCACACATGTGTCCTGTATTCCGTTAAAGACAGCGGGGGGGGGGGGGGGGGGGGGAGCACCTGAGCCGCTCTCTTCATGTTATGACTCATGATAATTTTGTTCTTTCGTAGTGGTGTTTGCGCATATACACGTCATATTTACTGATGGCAATTTCTGCATGTCACAAAAACACCACAGTTCAAAACTCAATAGCATTCACGTAATTAAAACTACCAATGTCTGTATCGTAATAAACAACCAATGGTTGTGATGTATCGACAGAAACGTCGTGAAGTTGCAATAACAACAGTATTCGACGTTGCTCTGGAATCCTACAATCTTGCACCTGGAAGCAAGACATTATACCATGCGGACTGAGCCCCACTGTGGTGGTCGCGGAATCCCGGCTGTGGTGGCTGCATTTTTAAAGGAGGCGAAAATACTGTAGGCCCGTGTGCTCAGATTTAGGAGCACGTTAAAGATCCCCAGGTCGTCAAATCTTCCGGAGCCCTCCACTACGGCGTCTTATAATCATATGGTCGTTTTGGAACGTTAAACCCCACATATCAATCAATCAATTACAATGCGAACTGAAGTTAATCTGATACGTCTCAGATATTGAACATGACGATTGTAATTCGCCTTTATAGTACCGTTGATACGCTGGAGGAGATAGTGAAGGCTATTAAGAAACACGAACAAGGTCCTCAGTGGTGTTATTTCAAAGCTTGTATATGAAATTATAACATCAACAAAAATGTGATGAAAGTGACAATCTGCCTTCATAAATGCAGCCTGGTGTTTCCCGCAATATCCCACGCGAAGGGCTAAACAAGATTTGATTGATTGATATGTGGAGTTTAACGTCCCAATAACACCATGTGATTATGAGCGACCACGTAAGGGAGGGCTCCGAAAATTTCGACCACCTGTGGTTCTTCAACGTGCACCCACATCGGAGCACGCTGTCCGAGAGCATTTCCGCCTCCATCGTAAATGCAGCCGCCGCTTCCGGGATTTGATCCCGCGGCCAGCGGGTCAGCAGTCGAGTGCCTTAGCCACTAGAACACCACGCCAGGGCGAGGCTAAAGGAGAGGCCAGCTTGAGTCACTTACTGTCTACAATACCATACCATGTGAACAGTGATGCTTGAAGTTCGGCACGAAACCATTCCTATTCAAGAGCTCACAGGCAGAATGGGGAGAGTAGATGCTAGCTGGTTGGGCATAATTTACACTTGTGACGAGCTGCTTGGGCACGAAGAAAGACGCACAAAACACACGTGTACACAACACGCGTGCGTAGTAAAAACTATTTATTTGATGGAAACGAGAGAAGAATGAAATACAGCGGAATAACCTCTCTTTATTTCGCATTTGTAGATCGCGACAAAATTGTGGTGCTTTCGAGATTTCGCGGACAATGAGACCTGCTGCAATCGTTAGCTAAGTTACCAGGGCTGACGGCTATAATTATGTTCGCGTAAACGCGTATTAATACACCTATTGGTTTTATAATAAAGAATTGAGACATTCAGAACTGTTATTTCAGACGAGGTAGGAGCGTAGGCCTAGCCAGCGAAAGCAGCGACAATGTCCGGGCGAGCGTCTCGTGCTTAGCACTGAAAATGTGTTTTCCGAGCTATGCATGACCCACTACTTCTTCATTACATATTTCCCCCTCGCTGAAGACGGAGCCAAGTAGGTGTTCTAAGGTGTCGTAAGGACAAGTGGGTCGTGATACGGTTTGAGACGATCCACGTGTACGATTTCGCGGCCTCGGCGACGCAGGTCCGGAGTGGGCGTCAGGGGTTCGATGAGGTAGTTGACAGCGGAAGTTCACTGTATGACGCGATGAGGCCCGTGGTACCTGCTGACGAACTTTGTAGAGGTACCAGGAGCAGCAATGGGAGGCACCCACAGCCAAGAGAGTTGGGTGAAAACTGGTAGTGGGACCGTCCATCGTCGTGACGAAATTTCTGTAGCCCTTGTTCTTGTGTTGTAAGGGTGCGAGCTAATTGCCGACATTCTTCCGCATACCGAGCGGCTTCGGAAACTGGTGTGCCTTCGGATGAGTCGAATCGGTAGGGGAGAATGGTGTCGATTGGAGATGATGGCTCTCGACCATAAAGTAAAAAGAAAGGAGAAAAGCCGGTCGTCGCTTGAGGCGCCGTGTTGTAAGCGTACGTTACGTAGGGAAGGATAAGATCCCAGTTGGTGTGGTCGGAGGCGACAGACATAGAAAGCATGTCGCCAAGAGTGCGGTTGAAACGTTCGGTCAAGCCGTTCGTTTGTGGACGATATGCGGTAGTACAGCGGTGAACCACATGGCATTCAGCAAGAAGTTCTTGAATTACATCCGTGAGAAAGACGCGGCCTCGGTCGCTCAAAAGTTCACGCGGAGCGCCATGACGCAGAACAACACGTTGGAACAGGAAAGACGCAACGTCACGTGCTGTCGCGGCTGGTAGAGCGGCCGTTTCTGCATATCTCGTGAGATGGTCGATCGCTACAGTAATCCAGCGATTCCCAGCTGATATATATGGCAGAGGAGCATAAAGGTCTATTCCAACCCGGTCGAATGGTCGCACTGGGCATGGTAACAGCTGCATTGTTGCAGTAGGACGGCTAGGATCGTGCTTGCGGTGTTGGCACTCTGTGCAAGATCGAATGTACTTTTGAACGAACGTGTACATGCTGCGCCAATAAAACCGAAAACGTAGCCTGGCGTAGGTTTTATACAAACCGGCGTGTGCACACTGCGGATCGGCATGAAAAGCAGCACATATGCTGGCACGGAGATGCCTGGGTATGACAAGTAGCCATTTGCGGCCGTCAGGGTGGTAGTTGCGGCGATAAAGTGTTCCATTACGGATGGCGAAGTGGGAGGCTTGTTGGTGTAGCGTTCGAGATGGCGGGTGGGCGAGTGTTTCAGATAGGTAATCCATCAAAGACGCAATCCACGAATCTTTGCGCTACTCCGCAGCCATGTCAATGGGTCCGGCTAGTGGAAGTAAGTTGTCTTGGATGGAGACACTCGCAATATCAGTGGAAACGGGTGAACGCGAAAGAGCATCGGCATCGGAATGCTTTTGGCCTGAGCGATAAATGACACAGATGTCGTTCTCTTCGAGCCGTAAAGCCCATCGTGCCAAGCGTCCGGAGGGATCCTCGAGGGAGGATAACCAGCAGAGCGCGTGGTGATCGGTAACGACGTCGAAAGGGCGGCCGTACAGATAAGGCCGAAATTTGGTAATGGCTCAGATGATCGCTAGGCATTCTTTCTCAGTTATCGAATAATTTGCTTCTGTTCTTGTAAGAGGGCGGCTCGCGTACGCAACAACATATTCTTGGTAACCAGGCTTTCGTTGGGCGGGTACAGTGCCAAACCGACACCGCTAGCATCCGTGTGGATTTCTGTGGGAGCGCTTGAATCAAAATGTCGCAGTATGGGTGGTGATGTAAGCAGTTCACGGAGCTTCGCAAAGGCACTGTCGCAGGCTGGAGACCACGCAGATAGATTGCGGTCTCCCTAAAGTAGGTCAGTCAGAGGTGCTATGATCGAGGCGAAATCCCGGACGAAGCGGTGGAAGTATGAGCAAAGCCCAATGAAACTACGCAGCTTCTTGAGAGACGTGGGCCTCGGGAACTCGCTAACAGCACGTAGCTTAGTGGGGTCAGGGAGAACGCCATCCTTCGACACGACGTGTCCGAGAATGGTCAGCTTGCGCGCTCCAAAGTGACAATTCTTCAAGTTTAGTTGGAAGCCTGCTGCAGAAAGGCAGCGTATAACCTGTTCCAAGCGACGAAGGTGCGTGAGAAAATCGGGCGAGAACACCACCACATCATCTAAGTCGCACAAACACGTGTTCCATTTGAGGCCTCGTAGGATAGTGTCCATCATACGCTCAAATGTTGCCGGCGCATTGCATAGGCCGAATGGAATCACGTTAAATTTGTATAAGCCGTCTGGTGTAACAAAGACAGTTTTTGCTCTATCATCAAGAATCATGGGCACTTGCCAATACCCACAGCGTAGATCAAGGGAGGAAAAGAACTCTGCGCCTTGTAAAGAGTCGAGGGCGTCATCGATCCGAGGCAAAGGATACACATCCTTTCGTGTTATTTTGTTTAGGCTACGATAATCTACGCAAAAGCGTATTGTGCCATCCTTCTTTTTAACTAAAACAACCGGCGACGCCCAAGGACTGTTTGATAGTTGAACGACGCCGCGCTTTAGCATGTCACCTACTTGTTCATCGATGACACGGCGTTCAGTCGGTGAAACACGGTACGGTCGCTGCCGTAGTGGTGGGTGATTACCTGTGTCGATCTGGTGGCATAAAGTAGATGTTCGACCTAAGGTAGCGCTGTTACTGTGAAAAGATGGCCGAAACTTGTCAAGAAGGTTCAGCTCACACCTCTGTTGTGGGTTTAGGCCTATCGTCGATGACACTGTTGAAAATGTCGGCAGTTGAAGGGCCATTCCCGGAACTACAGGAGAGGGCGCTGACTTCCAATGATCCATCAGGAACGTCAAGTGTAGCGATGATTTCGAATGATTCGATTGAGCCGATACATTCGCCCCGAAGCAGCGTAATCGTGAATGGGAAAGGATTCCCCACAGGCACGTCGGTCCCACCACCTTGAAGAGTAACGAGCGCGGTTGGGAGCGGTGATAGGTGGTGATGAACGAAAGCAGCGGAAGGTGTGAAGAATGCGGTAGCGTCGACGACGGCGGAACACGACACAGGTGTGAAGACAGTAGCGCGCGGAGGGATCTGAGTGTCGTCACTAATGACCAACTTCGCGTAGGAATCCTATTGGAAAAAAACGAATGGTGGGTATGGTGTAAACCACCACCCACCATTATAGTGGATTAATGTAGTGGGTGAATGGTGGGAAACGCCCACCATTGCGCATGGTGGGATATGGTGGGTGCTGCAGTGCCGGCAACGCTTGAGCGCGAAATGGCGTCAGAATCACCGTGACGAGCTGCCACAAAAAATAAAGAAGAATTCTATAAAAACGGTATAAAAGAACACCCG